TTAATTAAATTTATTCAGTGGAGGAACAGATTGGGAGACACACTAGCCGATATAGTGACAGACTGGCTAGACACCGGAGCAGACTAGCGAGAAGATTGCTCCCTGCGAGGCCACTAAGGCGATTAAAACGCTTAGGCTTTGCAAAAAATATTAGATAAGTTTAGTTTAGTGATATTTGTAAATATATATTGTAAGTCCTCCTGAATCATCAGAAGGTTAGGCTCTAATATAATATTCCAACTGTGTTGTTAAAGTACTATATTTGCATGTACAGGTTCAACGCTTAAATAAAATCAAAAAAAAAAAAAAAAAAAATAAAATTTATTATATGTATATACCAAATTCTCGACCGAATACTCTTTGTACTGCCCTCGCTTGATAGGTAAACGGTATATATATATATATATATATATATATATATATATAGACGTCTGTTCTCCTTGCTACTATTACTGACAATTTGCGCTTCTGGCGGTTGTTACTTGACACTCAGTTAGTCCAGGGCTTGGGAGGGGGTGCGCAAGGATGCAGGGAGAATCGGGCCGCTGGTCTCTGTTTCAATTGAGTGACAGAGTGTATCAGTTGAGGGATTTTTGCAAATCGCTGTCGCTTGACTGAAATCAGATTAAACTTTGCCAAAGCAATGGAGCAGCTGCAACACCTGCGAAACTCAGGCCAACAGCTAGCCAGCAGCCAGCACAGTCCAGCCCCAGCCTCAACCAGTGCGAGGGAGAAGGACAGTTATGTATGTGTAACAAGTGAGAGAGAAAGAGAAAAACAGAAAAAGCAAAGCACCATAGCCCGGTACACAGATATCCAGCATCTCATCTGGCAGTAGCTGAAGCCAAAACTAACTGAAACTTAGTTCAAGTCTGCATGGAATGGATTTATATAGCATATACATATATATACATATACATATTTATACATATATGTAGGTATGAGCATGTGTGTATGTGTGTGTGGCATAAACTTTTAATAGTCTTACATTTTGAGTGGCCTAATGATATGCTAAACTGACTAACGAAAGGTCTACCTTGAAGTTAACCCTGCCCTGCTCACACAACATTCCTTTGTTACCCCCATCCGCACTCTAGCTGCGGGCCAAATTGTTGCAATTGCAAAAGTTTAGCAGCAACCGATGCGGGCCGAATACGGGAGCCAAAAATTAGTTGGGCCCAACTAATGCAAACTACTTTGCTTTGCGGGCAACGCTTGGCAATGCACAGCTGGAGCTATGCTCACATTTCCATTGCTAGCTAAAATGCTGTAGGCACTCTGAGCCATCAAAGGACTAACAGTTTATTTAAGAATTGAATTTTCCTCGAACGAAAGTTGTTTGACACAGGTGAATAGCTGCAGGCCAGATAAATTATATGTTAAATGTGCTATTAGTTCTACTGTAGATGTTATATATATTATATTTACTTATATTTACTGTTAGACAGATGCGCAGATAAACTAAAGCTCCAGAGGGTAAACGAAAAGCTTCAGCTGATGATAATTATATTTCGAAATTTTAAGAATGGTTTCCCAAATTCACTTTGTTTATTCACTTTTTCCTGATAAATATTCGATATGTGGGAGATAGCAGGCATGTGAATGTTATTTGAGCTGACTTAAGTCAAAAAAAGCTTTGCATTTTTTTTTTGCTAGATAATTAATGTACTTCTATATATCTGAAATATATTTAAGTATAGCTATATGTAAAATAACCCATATATATTTATTTATTTATTGATTTATTTACCTAAGTATATTTAAAATAATTTTAAATATATTCTACACAAATTGAAAAAAAAAATCATATTCACATAAAAATATTCAATAGTTATTTAAAATATTTTATATTTTATTTTGAAATAATTTACTATGCTGCATAATTTAATACATATACAATACAAAAACCTTGCATATTTCTTTTAACAAATTTTATATATTTTATTTTTAAATATTTTACCTATGCTGCATGTATGTATTTATATATTTTAAAATATATTTTTTATTATTATTTATTTAAAATATTTTAAAATATATTTTATATTTATTTAAAATATATTTTTTCTCTAATCAAATATTTTAGTGCATATTTTTCAAATATTTAATAACAATTTTAAAATATGTTTTATATATTTACAAACATTTTATATTTTTATTTTAAAATATATGTATGAGCTATGCTGCATCTATTTAGTGTATAATTAAAAACATTTGATATATTTTTAAAAATATTTCAACTATGCTGCTGCAATTCTCATTGATATCAAGTATACGCATTTCTATATTACGTATTCAGCATGCCATAAAATAATAATAATAATCATAAATTTCAGATAACATTATCTCACTCACCTTGCCCAAATTGACGAAACCGTGTTCCTTGGCAACAGCATCCGCAATGCCGTTGTCACCGTTCGGTATGTGCACCGCCCAGGTGTGCGTATAGTGACCCCCATTGCCGCCCACTTCGCGCACGTTCCTGGCACTGCCGGCGCCGCTGTCGCTGCCGCTGCCGCTGTCTGCGCCGCTGCCTGCACCGCTGCTCACTGCAGCGTTCTCATAGTCCAGCACATAGGGCGACAGCAGTGGCGACTGGGCGTGGCCTGGCTCCATTTTGGCCGCGAAACCGACATTAAGTTTACATAAAAACACTACGAGACTAAATTGCAAAAGCAAACGTAATGAAGTCGACGTCGGCGTTTGCGTCGCTCTTGGCTCAATCGAATGTCTTCTGCGAATGCATTTCGTTTTTCTATTGTTTTCCTTGTTTGTTGTTGTTGTTGTTGTTAAAAAACTAATGTTGAATAAATTGCAATTGTAATTTAAATTTGTTATATCACATTCATTGATTGTTTGTTGCTGCTGCTGCTGCTGCTGCTGTTGCCAGTTTGAACTTGTTGCAGCAACATTCGCCATTGTCGCTGTTGACTGACAACTTCTTTTGCTAGCAACATGTTGCATTGACTGTACATTGTTTATGTTGCTTATCTCTTGCCTGTATTTACTGTTATTCTTGCTCCTGCTGCTGCTGCTGCTACAGCTGCTGCTGTTGTTGTTGTTGTTGTTTTTGCTGTCGCTATTAGGCTGCCCGCTCCATCGCACCACGTCGTTTTTCATTGTGCGTTCGATTTGTGTGCTTTTTAAGGCGTGGCTTTCTATCCGTCTGCTCTAGAGTGTCTGCGACAGTATATGTGTGCGTGCGTGTCTGTGTGACTGTGTAACTGTGTTGACTGTTGCTTCCACAGCTTCACTCTCCCACTTAACGCTCAGTAGCTGCTGTAATCTCTTTGCTGTCGCACTCAAGCTGCAAGTAGAGCAAAATGATTTCAATTTACATTAGCATTTGATGCACAACAAACAGTTGAGAAATACTTAAAAATTCTACTATGTATAGACGTTTGCAGAAAAAAAATCAATATATTAAACAATGCTTAAAGTAGCTGTGGAGATAACGTTTAAAGTAGTTAGAAGGGAAATTAAATATTCTAATATATTTGTATACCTAATTAAAAATTTTCTAGCAATTTTCTCATATTGAGCATGCTCATGTGGAGAGGGATTCTCATACCAAACTCTCACAGCTCGCTTCACAAATTAAAGACAAATACTTAGCTCAATAGCAAATGCTGCTACGATGGCTCACATAACTCATCCACACAATCATATCATTTAGCAAAGTCAGGGCGCAACACTTACTAACCCAGCCAACATATTACAAGGATTATATCACATACTCAGCGGAAGCAGACCAAGGCACAATGCGCGAGTGAGAGCCAACAAAAAGTTGACTGCCTGCAAATGACACATTCAATTTGTTAGCAAATATGCTCCAGCAGCAGCAGCAGCAGCGGGAGCGGCAACCAAACTTGCCTCATTAGCAGGCAACTTATGAGGCACAAGTGATATCCTGCATGGCTGTCGGCGAAAAAAGAGCTCAAAGCACAGAACTTGCTTCATTTGGTTTTTCTGCATTGGCAACTATTTAGCTGGCGGGCGAAATCGCATTGATTATCACCCGGGTCCGGGTGCGGGTCCTGGTCCAAGTTCCAGTCCCAATTCAGGTCCACAACAGCCGTTGGCATTGCAAATGAGGCACAGAAATTGGCCAACTGGATTTTGACTAATGCCATTGTCCAAAATATGTCCATGACTGATGATGTGCCCCCTGCAGGCCAAACAGCCAACGGCCCACAGCCAACGGCCGATGGCTAAAGCACTGACTGTCATATTTGGCCCGGCCATTGTGATTGAGTGTAGCTGGATATCAGGATATGCAGTTAGCGCGTAATTAAAGCCATGGCTTGAACGGAAATGCGCAGCACTACCACCTCCGCCGCCAGCTCCGCCACCATCAAGACCAGCATATCAACCGCCCGAACGGATATTGTGGTGTGCGACGTTTGGACATGGTAATCAATAGCCAAGTGGATAGGAAATTGAATTTTCATGCGACAATAGCAGCATTCCAATCACTGCGCCACCCAAAGCCCCAACTCCTCCGTCTGACAATATATTTGACTTTATTTTCGGTTGTTCGATTTGAAGTACCATTCACACAAATTGAATATAACATATAAAATGAATATGTATATATATATGTATGTACATATGTTTTTCAAGAGCTCAATACACAAGTATATTTAACTAGCCAAAAATTCAACTAATTTATCGCTAGATGACTATATATAGGAAAATAAAATATTAGTCTAGCTGGAAAAACGAGTTTGGAAAAGTTTAAAATCATTTCTCAGGATAAGCAGAGGAGGTTTGTGAGGCCCACGTAAGCATATGCTGCTGCAATCTTCAATATTGATTAAGATATTCAACAATAATTGAATTAAAAATCCTTCCTCGATGATACTAATATAATTTCCTAATTCGGTTTCTTAATGTTCGATAAGTACTCTTAATGTTCTATCTTCGACTGTATTTTATGAATAGCTACACAAAAATAGTATTTAAACATAAAAATGTAACCTTTTTGCAACCTTTCGTCTCAACTAATCCATGCGTGTTTTGACCAAACGCACCGTCACCTTATCATGTTCAATGAGATACACTTTCATTCCACAGCCACTGATCGTATCACGGCAGCCGGCCGAGATCATTGCGCGCGAAATCGCTTCGAAGAGCCTATCGGCATCCATGTTCGGCTCCCACAGGGATTCGCAAGTGCCAATCATTTGCTCCGTACAGGTTCCCACGACAACGAAATCAGATGAGACAGTGGACCAGCCGAGCAGGTCCATGTTGCATAGGTAGGGCTCCAGGGTATATGGATCCATGCCAGCAACAATGGACTCCACATGGAAGGGAGCGAAGCGATGCTGGTAGAGCATGTGAGAGAGAAGTTCCGTTACAATTTTGGGCGTCACAAGAGAGTTCGTATTGATCTCATACACATTTCTGCGACAGCCCAAACGCTCCTGCACTGTCAATATGTCCGCCTGCAGCCCAGTCACACCTACGTACAAGCGCGGCGCCAAATTGAAGATCTTCTCAAAGTCCTCGCCAATCGTATACGAGGAGAGAGACAAGCGACGATCCGTGCTAATAGCGACGCAGTCCTTGCCCTGCATGGCAATCACGCAGCCATTGCAATACGAGACCTTTTCATCCATTAGCAGCTACAAAGTATTACTATTTATATACCAATATAAAATTCCTTGCATGTGGGGTCTGTGAAAAGTTTGTAATGAATCGATGTGAGAGCTCAATCTAAGCTCATAAATGTTGAAGTTGTTTTCATAGGTTTGCCTGATTAAGTGCCCCCATCGAACTATATATTTATACATATATATATAAGCCATCAAATTGTGCAACAAATTTTATTTCTGGCCGGGTCCTAGGCAATAAATAAAGTTTGCAAAAAAGAGTTGCTTAAAAAAAGTCATTAAAAACTTGCACGGAAACTTTTGGGACTTGCCCACAAAATTTCGCAGCGCTCTTATCGGCTGGAATGCACATGAATGCACACACACACACACACACACACACACACATGCACATATACACGAGCACACATATCTACAAGCAGATTGCATGGCATGCGCCTTTTGTACAAAGACTTCCGCACTAAAGTCAAGCCCTTTTCCCATCGACTTCCTGGCAGGACTTGCACGACTTTCACGACTTTTGTCATCCAATGCTCGGCGTCTGGTAAACTTTGACTTTGACTGACGGCATTTGTCAGCGGCAGACACAAAGTAATCATTACGTCTGCACTAGCATTCGACGCAGCGAGCGCACACTAAGCGTATACTTAATATTAAGAAAATAAGTGCCTGTCAGCATAGATGGAGTAAAAGAGAGAGAGAAAGGCAGAGAGAGAGAGACCGCGCACGCCAGCGAAAAGTGCAAAATGGTGTCAAAGTCAACGACAAAAACATCATCAGCAGCAAACAACAACCACATTTTGTTCACCAAAGCAGTGTTGCCACTGCAGTGAGCCACTGCAACTGCAGCTGCAACTGGCGATGACGTCAGCCCGTCTGCAGCACTCCAAGTGTAAAACTGTTGCAACGTTAACTTGACAACTTGAGACAAATTGAGATGTTGTTTTTTAACACTTCTCGATGCGAGCGCAGGGCGAAAATTGATGTGCAACGCCCCAACCGAACGACCGACCGAGCGACGAACGGACGGACTGACACGTGGAAAGCGCCGTAAGCTCACACAGCATCAGCAGCATTTTAAACAGTCTCAGGTGGAACTAGTGTATCCGTATATGGGTCAATATGCTTATTGGATTATTTATACAGCGTTTACACTTCGTGTCAATCAAATCAGTCAACTAGAGTGAATCCAATTTGATTTTAAAATTGGCCCGAACGAAGCTCACGAATCAATGGAGCATTTAGAGCCATTAAGAGCAAGATCTTTATTTTATGATGTTATTCAAAATGTGAAATCCGAGTATGAGATAGCTTACAGAAAATGTAAGTAAAGAGGCTGAAGGAGGTGTGGCAGGGCCCATAAAGCATATATATTCTAGTCTACTGTTGATTCTAATCAACTGATTTTGAGATTTGGGGTCACCTTTGCCAATAAATAGATCGTGCAATGATATAAAAGAAGGCCCTAGCACTTCTTATATAACTGGCCACGATGCCATGCGTGACTCACATGGCAAATACTGCCGCAAGTTTACATTATTTAAAAGTCAATTAGGAACACCGCAGGGTAAAAAAAAAAAAGAAAATTGTAATTCACTTTTGATTTCAAATATGTCTTACATAGCAAGCACAAGAAATCGGTGTGTGCTGCAGTTTCCTGCGGCCAGTGTCCCTTGAAGAGCTCAACGAGTTGAAGGCTCATCAATTTACAATCAGGCGCCACAATGGAAGCACACCTAAAACGCAAGAAAGCAAAGAGCAAGAGGCAAAACAAAAATTGCTACATAAAAAAAAAAAAAAAGAAAGTTGCAACCAGCCGCAAGCCGAGCTCAAAGAAGAAGAAGAAGAAGTTGGCAAACAAAAAAGCTGAAACAGTAACAAATCCACAAGACAAAAAACAAAGAAAAAGTGCAATAGATATAGCTGCACTGATGTAGGCTGTAGGCAGCTTTGCGTAAACAGTCTGACACTTGGTTGCTTGAGGCGGCCTTTGTGGTTAACCGAAGCAGAAGCCGAGAGAAGCAATAGAGAAGCAGAGAGAGAGAGAGAGAGAGAGAGAGAGAGAGCAACTAGCTATGCATTTTGAAAACCGATGCCAAAACACATTAAGCCTGATGCCTTTGTAGGCGCCGGCAGCAGCAGTTAGCAGCTTAAAAAAGAAGGCTACAGGAGTCAAAAGCCAGGCAGTTGCAATTGCAAAACAGAGCCGCTGGGGCAGGGGGCGTGGCACTGCCATTTCTAGTGTAAGGCTGTGTGTGTGTTTGTGAGCTAAAGCTTTTAGTGAATATATATATATGTGTGTGTGTGTATTTGCGGCTATGCGTACTTCCATTTGCTGGCTGCGGCCGTTTTAGTTTCTTCTTTCCTTAATGATGGTTGCCACAAAGCCAAATATGCCGCGCTCCAACACCAGACTCTTCTTCTGCATCTTCTTTTCTCTCAAGCCACAATCGCGGCTGCAACTGGAGCACAAAGTCAACAACAAATGGGCCCGGTTAACGCCCGCAGAAAAGCGGCTGTCAGTTGCGTTTCCTTTCTGTATTTCCATTTTTCTCGCAGTGCAAGCAGTGAAGAAAACATTACGAAGTAGGCAAAGGCGTAACATAATGGTCGATATGCAGCTGGGGCGCATGCCAAGAACGAGTTGCACAAAGTGCACGAGAAATGTCAGCGCAGCTACAGAAAAAAAAATTGAAAAATAATAAAAATAATAAATAATACCCATACCCCTACCCCTATCCATACCCCTACCCCTAGCCGTCTGAGATTCCTACCCAAGCCGTACCCCCTACCCCAATTTTGCTTACACCATTCGGGAAATATTACTGATAATTATAAACCAACAAATTAAAAATTATAAAATAAAACAATTAAGAAGGCTCTAGTCTAGTCTTCTGAGATCTCGGCGTTCATACGGACAGACGGACGGACGGACAGACGGACATACGGACAGGGGTATATCGAGTCAGCTCGTCGTGCTGATCAAGAATATATATACTTGATGATTCCTTCTGCCTGTTACATACTTTTTCACAAAAACATTATACGTTGATTTCACATTTTCAAGGGGTTCTCCTATATATAAAAACGGTAGTTTCTTAATATGTAGTTGGGTGTATGTAAGGACCAAATGGTTTCTGCCGCTGACAACGCAAAGTACTCCAAATGTACTTCATATAAAAGACACAAAATAGGAAAATAATACACTAAAATATGCTCTAGTTGCTTTTCATAAAAAAAAGAGGAAAGCAAAACTGATTTAATTTAATAACTCTTTGATATTTCTATAGAATATTTTATTTCATTTAAATATGTATTGCTTTTGATTTAACTAGCTTATTTATTTTTAATGACATATAAAATATTTGTTCGCTTTACAATATCGAATAAATATTTTTGAGTCATTAATAAATTTAGAGTAAATATTTAATGAAAACTAATTGGAAAACGAAATAATGAAACTAAATGGAATTTATAATAATTATGTATATATTTTTATATTTGCCTGTCTGTCTTTCTATTTTATTCACAAATTTTTTTATTTTTTTAAAGACCTCAATTGCAACAAAATGTTAATTAAAAATATTTAAAGAATACAAATTCAATTTATCTTGAGCACAAACGAAATGAATGCTATTTAATCTCTTTTAGGCTTGTAAAATACTTTGCACATGTCGCTCTTCATTCATTTACCTGTGGAACGACTCAATTTGGCTTTGCAGACGAGTTTAATTTATTAACACTGCATTCTGTGTTAATGAATCCATTTGGCTGCAAAGTGCATTAAGGGAATGCAACGCCTTATGCAAATGGCCAACAGAATCGTAATTATTTGGTTTGCCTGGGTTTCGTTTGCATGCCGCAAGTATGCCCGCATCTGATGTGAAATGAAATGCAATTATTATATATGTATGTATATATATATATAATATATACAGCATATATTTCTGTCATACATCGAACTTTCAGAGGAGATATACTATGCCCTGTTATAACGAGATGCATTTGCGAAATTAACTGCACGCGTTGGCAACAAACGGCGGCTTAAAGCGTTCGTCCCTATTCAGTGCCTTGAATAGGGCTTAATGCAAGCATCTTCAGCTCTGACAAAGACCTCAAAGAATGCAATGTCTTTAAAAATGTAAGCCAAAACAAAGGCAAAGGCAAAGGCAGCGCCAACAAGCAACAACAACTACAACAACATCTGCACCAAGTGCTGCTGTTGCAAAGAGCCTTTCGAGGGCCGCAGTTAAACTGAAGTTCAACTCGCTGCTCATAAACAACGCAGCATAATTATTCCCTCACTTTTCTACATTCTTAGTCTTTTGACGTTAAACAAAATGTCTGTAAAAGCCTCACGGAGCCATGAAAAACCGGCGAGGACTCTACATATCATACATACTCTTTCTGAATAAATAAGAATAGAGGCAATATTTGAACAGATTGTTGTATAAGCAGGAGAAGGAACACAAAAGTCTTTGGTATATAACACAGAATTGAATCAATATTAATATGAGTTTATTAATAATATTTAATATTTAATAAATTCCAATAAAAGTGAAACTAGTCAAAATATTTATTAATATTCGCAAACTGTAGACAAATCCTAAAAAACTTTAGGATATAACGAAGAATCGCATAAAAAAAAAGTATATTTAATAATATTATATACTATCGAATAAAAATAATTTTCATTTCTAGATTTTCTCTTTAAAAGCTTCAAAGAAGAAACATTAAAGCCTTCAAGATATAACAAAGAATAAAAATATTCAATATTCATAATAAGTATTTCCATTTCTCAATTTCCGCTTTATCAAATTAATTCTCATTCCTTTTACTGGCTTTTCTAAAAAATCCCAACAATCTTCTCACATAATCTTAAAGTTGCCCAACAGCTTGAAAAGGTTATGTAGACCCGACTTAGATAAGGTAGACTCGACTGCCCGGGGGCAGCACAGTGGCAGGATAAGGCAACAGTATTTCCTCTTTCCAATTACCTTGTTGAT